CGACAACCCGTTCTCCATTGAGTGTTGAAGCGGATGATCGACAACAACTGTTGGAAAACGGGGTGGGGCCGCGTCAGACCCAGATCCACCCTCTGAGACGCCGTAGCGCCTGCAGCGAAAGCGACTATATTAACCAAAAAAGCATGAGCAGTAGGTAAGAGAGACTGATGTGCTATTAAACGCGCGATAATGTGGTACCCGGTCTAAAAGTGCTGTTACAAAGGAAAGGGGCGGAAAAACGAAGTGAAAAGGTCAAAAACCTGCGAAGAAAAGCATTCGTTCTCATCAAATGCAGTTTCAGACGAGTTTTTCTGGCATCTTGCCAATAACTGCTACGGTAGATACAGCTGCATGTATGTACTCATATATCCATGCAGCACCGCAGCCGCTTCATACCAATCCCTTCGCTTCATATTTTACTTAGCAAATGAAGCAATACGAGCATCAGGTACGGTCGTCCATTTGTGGGCGGGCGGGCGCGGTGGGCGTCCGGGTCGGTATGTTGCAGCTTGATAGGGCCTTATAAGGGTACCTCTTGGAAAAGGCGCTACGCAGCGCCTGCTCAGGGGCGCGGAATTCCGTCCTGCCAGGCGTATTAATCCTACTTGTCTTATTGTTAGGGATTTAGGATTCCAACTGCCTTAAAGGAAAAAAGTATGTAGTCATAGGTCTAGGTCCATTTTTTGGCCCATTCTGGAAACGTAATGGAGCCTTTTAAGGAAAAAAGCATTCTACCCTCCGAAACTTTGAAACGTGTCCCAGTTAATCTTCAGTGGTAATGTAACACTCACTGCCGTTACTTTTCCTTTTTCAGTAGCCATCAGCCCACACACTATCAAGTAATGTGATCGCTGCTTGTCAATATGCCAAATAAATATGATCTCACCGTTCGGAAGGAATTTTCGTTGCAGAATGAAACGAGTTGTTAATGTTCTCATTTGACGTCGGGCCGAAATCAACCGTAGTGAGAGTGTAACGGAACAGAACCACATTTGAGATCCGCCAAATAGTTACCATCAGCTGTAAATAACCAGTAATTTGCATTCGAATAGTCGCTACAATAACCTTGAAAAGAGCATTCGGACTTCTTTGGAAAACTAGGATTGCCTTCCTAATTACATTGCTTGCAATTGGTTTAGTCACCTGGGAGCTAATTCACCCTTTGGGCTTAGGCGAAGGTCTTCATTACGTTGGTTCTAGTTTTTCTCCGTGGCGGTAGTTCTAGTTTTGTTCAATAAGCCCTTGAATGTCCAATTCAAGGTTATTAAAGGACAAATACACCCCATCTCTCAGAAATAGGGGGTGGCGCTAACTCGGCGTGAGGTTTAGTGGATGCTGCGTTTTGGGTTATTTTTCGTTTACGGCAGTTGTTATCAAGTATTTGTCAGCACAAGATGATAGTTGCCTCATATGGAAATCCATGGACAGAGCATCTTGCCATGTTCAAATGACGCGGCCACGCCCACTACATTTGCGGGATAGATAAAGCCAGGAAGAAAATGTTAACCAAGCTGTTCGAAGGCACTGATTCTATACGAATACTTTGAAATGGTGAAGACAGGGAAAGTTCAGAAAAACAAAAACAAATGCAGAATGAACGCAGGATCTAAAAAATAATAATAAAACTGAAGGTTAAACTTTTGCACTCCCTTGTAGGATCCGCCACGCATCTTTCTACTCTCACATAGCATCAATGAATGCAAACTCAAGAATAGTGCGGTAAAAACTCACTCGTGTAAAGCACAGACTCTTTTCCCACATAGTACCATATTCGGTCTCGTAACCATTTTGTGTAGTCCCTGAACATTGAGAACATTGAAATACTGTTCTTCGATCGAGAGAAATCAACCAATAGGGGGCCATTGATCTCTTTAGGATGCGCCACTAGTGCACGTTGCACTTTGGGGATCCACAGTGACGGGGGTTATTTTCGGTCGGAGGGAGGGGGTCGCATTTGTCTTCAAGAAGAATGTACTCGGGTTGTTGGCTTTCTCCTGATTCACGTGCGCTAGACGCTCCATGCGCCACCCCCCCCCCCCCAGCTCGCCTCCCGCTCGGCGGCAGTTTCCAGGTGAAAAAATTTGAGAGGGTAATAGGTAGGGAAAAGGGTGTCGTACAAGAGAAAAAACCTTTAAAGGGAGGCTTGCATTCCACGAGAATTTTCCTCAATGGCAGGACGCCTCCTGCGCCACGCATTGACTTTTAGTGAAAACTACTGTGGCATTCAGGCGGTTCTTCGCTGCACAAAACGTTCGCTGTACCCTATCATACAGGAATGCTCCCAGCTAGCGACTCCGAAAAAAAGAAAGGCTTGACCCTAAATGACCGACTGGAAGACTTGGTTGGCATGGGAAGGAGCCGATGCGAGATTCAACTTTGGAAGCGTGAGTGTGGCGACTGGCAGCACTTGCCACTACACCCCGCCCCGTCTCCAGCCATAAATGAAACAAAATTATATGCGGAAGTATCGAACCTGTCACAAGCCTTGTAGCTACCGTACTCGTTTTCTACTTGAAGCATTAAAACTGGGCCACCGTTGTGCCGCATCAAGGGCTTGATCAGTGGCAGAAGAACAGAGTACCATTTATCAACGGCTTTTTTGAATCTGAATGTTCCACACTTTATCACCCAGATTTCTATTGAAAACCCATCCAACTTAAAGAACGAACAAGAAATAGGCTCATGACTTAGACTTATAACCACTGTACCTTCCTCCTTGACCCGTTCTTTCTTTCAATACCGTCACCCACCACGAGGAGCGTGTCAATGAGGAAAATACAATCGTGAGTTCCCGCCCATTTATTCGTCTACACTAATCTTGGAATGTATATCTTTAAATCGTATATGCTTGAACTCGCCCACAAAATATGGAGCGCAGCTTCGGATTGTGGCGGAAGGCGTGTGAAGCTTGTGGGGCTACGGGTTTCGTATTTCCACTGCCATTGCCTTTTTCTTGGAGGACCTGTCAGGTGTCTTTGCTAAGAGCAAAACAATAGCAGGAAGTACGCTCACGCTTGCAGAGTGTGCAGGCCTCACTAAAGCGAGCGAGCAAAATAGCGAAAACGCGAAATGCTTCCACCCAGAGCCGAACTGCGCCCGCTACTGTTTCAACAGCTCAATAAAATGCTTGATTTACCCGCTTTCGCTAGTCCTCATATCCGTTATATTCTTATTTAGCAACCACCATGGCAATCCACCGTTCTCCCATTCACCGCAAACGTACGGTCCTTGAAGAGTTAGTGTCTTTAGTTATTTTTTTAGTCATGAAGAAGAGCACTCACCTACTCTTACCAACGAATACATTCCTAGTTCGTAGGCGATGCGGGAGAACTCGGTAAAATTACGCATGCCCGAGAAATTATACCTGTAATTGAGGTGATATGGGAGGAGACAGCACTAGTACAGCCCTAGCGCCACGTGTCTGAACCTTGTCAGCAGCTTCCGAAAACTCACTTTCCCTCATAGATTTCATGAAAATTCCATGGAATATAGTATTGAATAGCATTGAAGCCTAGTGCGCGCACTCTCTGAAGTCTGAAAAATGATGCTAAATAATAATCGAAGGTGGACAATGTAATGAAGGCACAGAGGTCCAACATGTTTTTGTAGGTGCAAAGTTAAAGCCTACTTCTCCTGAAAAACGAATACGGTAAGCAATAAACGACAAGCTTTTGCACCAACGCCACTGCATCACTGCTGAGTTTGAGTCAGGGTTCATCGTTATTGGGGAATCCCCAACAGGGGGAGGGGAAATCTCGCATTTGGCTGCCAGAGAGAGCGGGGTCGAATTTGGGATGATCAAATGATCTATCTTTGAAGTTGATTTCCTCGCTTCATGGACGTTGTGAAAGGGGGGCGACGGTACTTGCTTCATGTTGGGCCAGGCGGAGAGGGTCCTGCTATTTTTTTGGTTTTTTAGAGGTGAGTGAGTGACTTTCCTCCCCCCCCCCCCCTCCCACCGCCCGCCCCCCTCCCCCTGCTCGACAGCTCGATTGGATTGAGGAAGACAGAGGGTCGGATGGGCGAGTTGCTACCAACCTTCCCCCCCCCCCCCAAAAAAAAGCGGGGTTGGGTCGTACGGACTCGACTTACAAATTCTCAAACCAATGATGGCCCTCGTTTATAGCGCTCGAATTGCATCTTACCTTGCGCGAAGGCCTGAGTGAAAAGATTCGTTTTTTTTTTCAAAAACAAAACTCATGGGCAAAACAAACGTGTGTGCCCTCGTCAGAGGGTCAACTGAGACTCTATTCCAAGAATTTCCTTTACGAGGCTGCAGCTACAGAATACATGCTTGGTAATTCATTGCCCACAAATGTGTTGAGCAGTGTGAAAAAAAAAAAAAAAAGCAAAGTGCCCTAATGATTCGAGTGTCTGTGGGAACCGCCTTTGAGATCTCGCCCTTTCTAGTGACGAAAGCGATGCATTCTAGGCGAGTGCGGACCTGGACGCCGAATGCATGGGAGCATTTCGTGGATCACTTGATCGCGAAAACTGTCTTCAAACAACTGGACGATAGTCCATATTACCCACAATGTTCACCTCAAAATCACCTGTCTTTCCATTGACTGGGATGAATGCGGAAATAATGAATTCATTTGACCCGGAAATAACCAAACGGCTTCCCGTCTAGCAAGAACCGATCATGCTCATAATCAACAGCAAATGAGCTTCCACCTCTGAAAACAGGGCAATCCAGCTGTTAACAGCAGACATCTCCAAGCTATTACCTTACCTGACGCGTGCCTTAGCACCGAAGCTGAAGACGTCCCGCAATATATAACTAGTAATCCAAAAGTTATTGAAATAAGGTAGTTTGTCATCTGAAGATTTTACAGCCAGGATTTTTGCGGACGAGGAATCGATTTCGAGATGGGTTGTTGTATGCTGCGACTGGTCTGTCTGAGAGGTGGATGCATTCACATTGCCTCGCGTGTATCATATTCCTTCATCTCATCGATTGCGGTCATCGGTCTCTGCAATAACCCGCCCGACCCTTTCTTACTTTTAATCAGACAAAACAACTTGCTCTGCGACAACACTTTCATTGATGAGATGACACTACATAGCTAGACAACATCAAAGCATAATAAATAAAACAAATACTTCACAATTACATTATCTTCGCATGCGAACAAATGAGAACAACAACTTGACCACTTCAAAACAATAGGAATGCCTAGATCATGGCGATAACCCTTTAACATTTATGCAATCATTCTACTTTTGCTGGTGGAGCAGGAACAGTTGATTGCGTATTCACCACACCCCTTTCTCTTTCATCTTCTTCTTGAGCCTGTCTCACCATTTCCATAATGGACACATGCAAAATTTCCAGACGTTTGCGGCTTGCAATTGACTTCAACTTTTTGTAGAGCAGTTTTGCTGAAAACAATATAAAACGAGTTCTATAAAAACAAGAGCAAAATGCAAAAATTTACCGAACAGCTCATTCTCATCGCTATCCTCGTCATTGAATTTGATTCTCTTCGCATCCTAGCGGATAGCCAGCCCAGCAGCCATTTGGAGCTGGTGTATTATGAATCGTGGAGTCGGTGGAAAATTCCCTGGGCATCTGCAAGCGGAACCTCAACTCCATTTCGAATTAAGAATTTTGTAGAGATATTGTCGCTGCCGACACGTCGAGAATAGCAGATTAGAGGTTCGAGAATATTCAAAGCTTTAAACGAGAGTTAGAAAGTACACCACACAGCTTCCGCGACGAACGGGCTGCGCGGGGGGGGGGGGGGGACGAAGCATTTAGCATCCTTGCTGCTCCACTAGTTGCTGTTGGCTAGCCTCACCCTGATGAAATCTGCGAACTCTTGTGAAGCTGGGCCAAGCTTGCCAAGTCACCATGGTGAATGGTATTTGTGTGGCATTTCATGGCTTTACAAGGGATGTATGTCGCTTGGCGCCATCTTTTTGCCACCGACGTATCAGAACACCGTCTTTCAGAAGGGGCAACTCTTCCAAGGCTCAGAACAACGAATTTCCCTATCAGTATGTGATCGTTAGAAGACCACCTTGTTCAGAAGCATGAACACTAGAACCATGAACGCAAGGCTTCAGTGTTCATGTAGGCTGTCAGCAGCAAAACCCTATAATAATGATCTGGAAGAGATATCCAACTTGGTAGACCTTTCATTATGCGTCATTGGCAATAAGATCGCACCCAAACGACCGGCCTACCCTTTTTACGAGATTTGACAGGTACTCTTTACAAGAATTGACAACTCTTGGATTACTGTCATTTCGTGGCTTCACACGACTGCACAGATCTCCCCTTGTTTGTTCGCCGCGCTGACGGGAGTAGCCAAAGTGCAAGAACCCCCCTCACCACCACCACCTAACTAAGCCAATATAATACTGCCAGATCGGGGGAGTAGGAGGATAGGAAAATGAGCCCCAGAAGAGAGCTGAGAATTAATCAAGTCCAATTCTCCTGCTCTGCGGTTCCCTCAAGTCGCCAGACCGGGATGGATCGATTCTCATCTATTCCTCTGATGCGTATTCTCATACTCCCCATGTTGCAAAGTATGACTGCGGTCTAAAAGAAGACTCATGGCTACTACAAAAGCGAATAAAACGGGGAAGGGGCGATCCCTACCGTGGGTTGGTGAGGTCATGTGGCGCGCAGCGATTCCCACGCGCGGCAACTACAGAGTTGCACTACCATGTGCCGGTGTAGGAGCAAGCGATTTGTGTTACGTCACCGCGTTCTCGACCAACATTCCTTTGGCAGAACCACCTTTTGATAAACTGAGCAAGCTACGACAACACAACTCGTACGCAATGGCTGCCGTCGTCAGCCACGCCCCCTAGCGCGGTGAGGCCCCTCGACTGGATCGACATATACCCGAACAAAGCCTGACGACACATCTTTCCAAAATTGGTTTTGATGATTTTCGTATCAAACCATTACTTCAAAGGTAAAAACTGCTAATCAACTATATTTAGGCTATACGGTCAGATCATAACGACACCGCAAAACTATTTAGCAGAACTGATACCTTGAGAACCCAAGATGAACAAGAATTAATACAAAATAGATCTAAGCGGCACAACACATAAGATCAACAAAAGAAATAAAAACTAACCCCTGGCGGCCGGCATGAACAGGGGGAAACGGTGTGGACCTTGCTCAGCGGCTCTTTTGGCTCCAGGGAAGAATTTTTCTGAATAGCGTCAATTTACGATGTAATACTGATAATGACGTTTCTTCCAATTATACTGCATGCTAACGACGGGCTGCTGGTGGTCGATAAGTCTCACGAAAGGCGAGTAGAACTCCCCACATAGTGCCGTTTCAATTTGAGGGATGAATGTCAAGGCTATTCAAAACAAAATAAAGTAAAGAACAACTACTAGCTCCCTCAAAACTATGACCCCCACCTTCAAACGACCATTTTTCAACTACACTGGGTTATCACAAAGCCCAACGCTAAGGGGAAATAAAAGGTACTGATAAGGTTCTGCCGCAAAAAGCAAGCGGCCATGAAGGCCAAAGTGTTCACCACATTCATGGGAACAACATGTACGAATAAAATTGGATCTGCTTAAAGGCAAGTGGCACGATCAAATCCCCAAGGCACGTAGGAATATTTGCCTAGCAGAGCATAACACGGCGCCCCTCAGCAGGCTCTGCATAGCGCCCTCCCTGAAGAGGTTCCCTCATAGCGCCCTATGGAGCTGCAACATACCGACCCGGACGTCCAGTGCACCCCACAACCACAAATGTCGAACGGATACATGCGCTGATATCGCCTTTATATGCCAGAGTAGAAACATGAAGCGAACTGATTCATTGGAAGCGGGTGCGGTGTTGCACGGGCAATGAGTACATGCTGCTGCACGTATGTACTGGAAACTCGCCCGAATCGCTCCGAATCGCCGTAGAAGGAAGCTTTTGACCGTCTCACTTCGCTTTTTCGCCATTTCCCCCTCACTATATGGCACCCCTGACGCCCTTGCAGACCGATTACCAAGTTATCGTGCCTTATGCCTTTGAAGCTATATATCAGTCAAAAAAAGAAAAAAAAATGAAAATAAAAACAACTTATTCATTTCAAATGACCTGTAACATTTGCGATTATATCATCTGCCTGAGATTTTTTCTCTTTGTCGGGATCATCTCTCTATAAAATAACAACGGAGTAAAGAAGCTAAAATAACAGAAATAAATAAGAAATTAAGAAAAGAGTAGAGCAAAACGAAGGTGATGAGTCCACCACAGAAACAGTTCAAACACAACATTAAGCCAGGTGGCCTGACCACCAAAAAAAACTAGTACTAACTACGGAAATAGTAAGAACTAAAAACAACCAACCCATCGCTGCTCTACGTTGTTCGCCGTAAAAAATCCGTACTTCTGCGGAGCGAAGAACACTTTTGGTGGCGGTTGAGGCGGCATCGGTGGACGCTTCATTGGAGGAGGCATTGGAGGTCCCCCATTATAGTAGGTAGGAGGAGCGGAATGCTAAAAATACGTTATAGACAAATGTCGCTTATTTTCTATCCAGAGTGCGGTCAGGAGATCCAAGTTGCGATGGCTTGCCGAACGCGGCGCTGAAAGTAACGTCGTGCACGAAGGGCTCATTGATACACGGAGACTTCAAAGAAATGACGGGATTGCGGATATAAGAATGTATATGTATCGATTTAAAAAAGCGCAGAACTGGGAGAAATGCCGAAATGACGGGCAAAGACTTGATAGGGACCGATCGGTTAGGCCTGCGAAAGAAATGACGATTTTGCGGAACTCCGGCATTTCTGCAGAACCCGTTTTTCTGCGTTTCTCCCGATTCCGCTGTTCTCCAAATCGATACGTTTTTTTCTATCCGTTGTTTCGTCATTTCTTCAAAGCAGTCACGTGTAAACGCGGCCACGGTTTGGAAAAACTTATTTGGATTGATTTTATTCGACTTATTTTTAATCACCAGGCGGCACGTTTGGTCGCAGGGGCAAATGCCGTGGTTTCCACGTTTGTAGACTGATTTTTCGCCCCTTTACTACCCCGGTGAAATCACACGTGCACAAACAAGCTCACTCCTACAATGGTGCGATCTTGGAAGCTGAAGCTCTTCTATCACAGGCCTTCATCGGAATGACGAAATTAACGTGGTAGATCTCGAAATCCGAAACAAGGCAAACAGGAAAATACTGGCTGATCTATGTTTTTACAAGTTAGGTAGCGCCGTCCCAGTTTACGCACGTCACCACAGATCGGACCTCCTGACCTACACCCTCCTATTTAGCCTGTGATAGCCCCCACCACTGCACTAACGTCGTGAACTTTTCCACCGTTTCTCTGACCAGAAGGTTGTTCCTAAAACAACAAGTTGTAGTTTCTTCTAACTACTGCCAGGTATGGCAGAGATCGCGACGTTATATCTGAGAAGACATAGATCTAATCATATCATACATTACAAAACAGCACAAGAACATCACTGGATGCTTCCACAACATGATTGCTAGTAAAATGATAGTGCTCACCTGTGTGATAAGGCGTGGACAAATGGCCTGCATCTTGCGTCGGCCACAAGCTGCTCCGCCTTTCAGCGCTCCGTCCATTGAGTCTAACAATAATTTATTGCAACAACACGAAACCGAGAAGAAAAAGCCATAACAAATCAATAAGCGTCAAGCAGCGTATATGCACTCATTAAAACACATTCAGACAATGCACTTTGCTGTATAAATACAAGTTTATTAAGATGAGACAACACCAAACAAAATTGAGACCGTCCGTAATACTCCAGAAACACTATACTAATTCTTCAACGTATACCAGCAAGAACGAGTAAGTTGAACTAACACCTTCGTTAAGGAGGAATAAGCTTTGCGATATCACCAAAACATAAAAACTATCAAAACGTGAAACTATTATGAACCAAAACAAGAAAGTGAGGGCATATGGTGAACTTCAACAAACTGTGCAGCATTCAGAGATGCACCTGTGCGGTGGCAGTACAGGTCCTATTGTCTAGGACCCCTTTGATACCGCCCGCGATTATAAGACCGTTTCATAGCACCAATTGCTCTTGATCCACCGATCTAACACTTAAGCCCACCATATAAAAAGACAGTAATCATATTATAAGTTCAGGAAACCGGGTATATACTGTACCCCCGAGAATTCCTCGCTTATAGAGCTTGCGATTTAGTCCCACGGTGCGTCCAATTGTGGGCTGTGAACGTCCACAATTGGGGGCACCGAGGGAGTAAATCATGATCTCTGTAACAGACTAATAAAAGTACTTCAAAGTGGTAATTGAACCGGCATACGGTATAGCCGATTGTGTGCGTTCACTGCGCGACATTCAATTTCACGAGCAATGGGTATAAATACACCCTAACTTCGTGACCCTATAAACTTGTAAAGAAGTAAATGAGGAAAGCGCAGCTCCCTACCGTTGGACGATTCAGCTTGCCGGGCAAGAGCTTCATGGATCAAGTTCATTATACGATTCTGCAGATGGTCAATAACAAAAACTGTCCTTGAGACCTTCCATTTTCTTCCAAACCATCTTCCCTTAAACATTCAATATTACTTCACAGAAAATGACACCAAAAGTCACGAAGAATTCCAGCGTACAGGAAAACTGGTATGGGCCTGTGCACAAGCGTGGACAGTTCTGTAGAAGAAGAGTTTGCAGCTTACTGAAGCGAAACACTGAGAGTAAAGCTACAGCCACACCTTGCGTCAGCGTCCACCACCAGCGTTTGAGCGCACCCCAGCGTCTCGGCAAGGCATTAGCATATGAAGACGCCAGCGCCTCTTCCAGCGAATTCCAGCGAAATAAAATCGTTTTTCGCGGCACTTTTGAACTAAAATGCCCGCCAAAGCGCTTGCTGTACGCTGGCGCCAGGGCACAGCATTGGTTGGGGATTCCCTATGGGGGGGGTCGTATTTGGCCGTCAAAAGGGGGGGTCGTATTTGGACTGGGAAAAATTTATTTTTATAGTTGATTTTTCTCTCCTTGCGGACGTTTCGGAGGGGGGGTCGTAATTTGGTCGTTGTGGGGAGGGGGGTCGTATTTCTGGCTAGGAATTATGTGGTTCACTTGGTGGATTTTTATGAATTTACTGTGTTATAGCGTAGTACCATGTACGTCGCACTGCTTACTACATACCCCCCCCCCCCCCCCGCTCGACAACTTTTTCGCCGAGTATAAACCACAACCATAGTCAGCCATGTCAGCCATCGTAGGAGCCATGGGGGGGGGGGTCGTACCAGCCCCTGAAAAAAAGGGGGGGGTCGTAAAAGCTCGACCAAAATCCCCATCGAATTGCTGTGCCCAGGCTGCTCGCGTTACGCTAGAATCTATATCCATGCCTTTTCCTAGTTGCTGCGTGCGGCGCTGGCGGACGCTGTTAGACCGCTATGACGATTCGTTAAACGCATAATGTACGCTGCGAAACGCTTGGTAGTAGTTGGGGGTTGCTAAAGCTGGACGCTGATGCAAAGCATGAACGCAGCTTAAAACCAGACTTTTTCAGGGGTCCTACTAAAAATAGCAGTATATCGTAAGAATTCATGGCAGAATACTTGACTCCAGCATGTTCGCCAATAAGAACCTCAAGCTTACTGGACTGGTATAGCAACCAAGGCGCTACACCTTATTGATCATCAGCTGGAAAAGCCACAAAAAATTATCGGGCGTTACCCCATAGGATATGCAGAATTTCGCCGAGCGGCCCGCCGAAATGGCATTGAAAGTTTAGCGATGCGAGCATGCTTTCAGCGCCGAGAAGTGATAAAGATCGACAAGGCGCAAAAATGACGCAATAAGCCTCACACTATAAGCGGCAGGACTCGCTTTGAAAACTCGCAGCGTTGAGATTTTTATGCCAAAGCTTTGCAACTTTCACACCTTCAACATAAGGGGCCGATAATCCCATACGAATGTGAACCGTAAAGGTTGAAGGCACTCTTCGCGCGGAAAATACTGAGTTAAAGGCAAGGCAGACCATAAATCGTTATACAGTATGCAGGATTTGGACAACTAGGCTTAGCAGAATTCAGTAACCTCAGAACAAGCGCTGCAGTGAAGGAACCCGGGCAACCTCTTACAACGCCCCTACTGCAAGCCAACAAACTGCCTACCGCTCCCAAACGCCTGTCCTTGCCCGCCGCCCACAAACGGCCCGACGACCGTTTCTGACGCTCGTATTCAAGTCATTTGCTGAGCAAATTATAAAGCAAAGGGATTGGTATGAAGCGGCGGTGATGCTGCATGCATATACGGGTTGCACATGATGCATCCGCGTACTCCAAGTAGCGTGTATTGGCCAAGATGCGTAACGGGGAAACTAGTCCGAAAAATCGATTATACAAGTCACTGAGAACGGAGGCTTTTTCTTCGCCGGATTTTGACCGTTTCACTCCGTTCTTTCGCCATTTCCCCACTATACAGCGCCCTACTAGCATTTTAGGCTAAGCAGGAAACCATCGTGCCAACTGCCTTTAAGGCAGCCTCAAATACGTATGACATAGGCCGGTATAACATAGCACTGAAGAAAAAGGAGCCGAAAAAACCTGTCCGAAGCTGGCCCCCATAATGGCAACGGCTTGCATAAGGCGATGAACATGGGTTGTTCTACAGATTGACGTCCATTTAAATTGAGAGAACCAAAAAGGAGCCGAACAACCGCTACCAGCGATGGCCAGTGCGGCGGGACCGCAGGCGTCTGTCGAGAGCTGCCCGGTCGCCTTTTCTGTCACGATATATCACGAATACGAAAGTAGTACATGCTTCATGCTTGCGAAGAGGACTACCATGTCCAAGAAGACGTCTGCGCATTATATGAGCGCGGGACGTGCTTTTGAAGCTATACATTTTTGGTTGTGATAACCGCTGTTTATTTGCACTATTCAAGAACATTTTTTTTCTGTTTTCACACTACCTACTACGTGAAACAAGAACTACGTTCCTGGTAAAAAGCAATGCTACATACCGAACAATTCATGAATGCTGCTATTTGTGCTAGATCCTTGCATCGCCCGAAAAGAACGTCGAATTTATTGCCATTGTTGCGCAGTCCCATTTGCTTATTTGTTCGAGTACCCACTGAAGTGCGTCTGGATAAACAAATAAAAAATAATGAATCACAGACTTTCTAGTCATAATGGCTTTAAGACAAACTGTATAACCGCCTTTCATGTGTCAATGTCATTGCCAGGTGAATAGAACGAGCCCTACTTGTCTGCGCCCTCTTCACTTCTAGTTGTGCCGAGCACGTGTTTCGCCGCTGGACCACGGTATCGACGGAAGCGCTGCACCATGAGAGGATAGCGCAGACGGAGAGGAGACGGCACTAGGGCACCACTACCCTCAGTTTTAAATGGAGGGAGTGGCACTTAAATGCGGCTGGGCGACCCATTCGCCCCGCACATGAAAAGGACCGTTCCTGGAGACGAATCTACAGTTTATCTTCAAACTGTCTTGGTTTATTCAAAATGAGCTAGATTAATCGCAATTCTCACATTCACAATCAAGCACGTATATCGTCGATTCCCTCGAAAAATCTCCCTGCTCTTCCGCGCTTACTCATAATTGACTCCCACACAAAAACAAGTCATTCATCATCAAGTACGCCATGAAATACAGTCTTGTTCGCTATTAGCGAAATGGCTTATCAGGCGGGATGATTTTCGCGCGATGCCTAACCCGTTATCCTCCAGCTATTGAGGCGAGCAAGTAGCAAGACTGTATCTCATCGTTCGTGTCACTCGTTCTCTGAAAATTTTTGTCGCATACCCTCTTAAACAACTGGTAGCGAACAAATTTGGCGCCGTGTCACACTTAGACTGCCTACCACGCCCATCATCCGCAGCGAAATAGAGTATATTTGTTGTCCGGTAAGTGCGGGAGAACAGCACGCCAATTGATAAAGCTCAGCGCACCAGAAAAAAGTAACTTATGATTTTGACTTAACTCATAACAATGTTTACCCTCAGCCAGGAAGAAGGGATGCCCGACACTGGTAAAATAAGTCCACGAGCTAAACACTTCAAGAACGCAATATTTACGGTCTACCAATTCCGAGTTTTTACA